GAAATGAAAAATAAACAACCTAAATTAAAAATAAAATAAAATTAAAAAAAAAAATCTTTACAGAGGACATTGCCCATCTTTCTCCCACAGAGCAGCTGGTGGATTTGAATTGTCAACTTTCTGCCTAGCAGGCTGGCATATTACACACTCCACCACCAGAGCTCTTTTACACATAAAAACAAAGAAAAACAAAGGAAAGGGGGAAAAAATCTCAAAAAAACTATTAGTTTATTAAGTACTGATATATGCTACAACATGGCTGACCTTTAAGAACACTATGCTAATGAAAGTGGTCATATACAAAGGCCACATATCGCATGATTCCATTCATATAAAATTCCAGAATAGGCAAATTCAGATAAAAAAGGCAAATTAATGGTTGCCAGAGCAAGAGGAAAGGGAAACGGGGAGTGAACACTTGATAGATACGGATTTCCTTTTGGGGTCAGGAAAATGTTTTGGAATATAGTGATTGCTCAACAGATATAAAAAGCCATTAATCTGCAATTTAGTTTTATATTAATTTTGTCATAAAAAAAAAGGCACAAATCATAAGAAAACCAGACACATGAGGTGTTAAAAAGAAGGAATATATTTATAAACCGAAGAAAGTTACCAAATTCCAGCTGGAAGAAACTGGCGAGGGAGTAAGTATAAGCAGGCTCCTTTGGGCCCAATCTCCAGCTTGCAGAGACCCTGAGTATCAGCCTATAAAGTCAGTCTTTGCCCTATGTATCATCTCGACTCCAAGCCAAGAAGCAACCTCTCTACTGGCCAGTTCTCAGTCTTCTTTCCAGTTATCCTGTGCCCAGGTAGGCATGGGTGAAGAGTATTCAAAGCCTGGCCCTTTATAGCTCAAGGCATGCAGGAACATCACAAGGTCCTGGGGTAAGGGGTCCTGCCGCACAAGGCGGCACTCTGCACAGAGGGGGTCGGTCTCATGATTCACGCCTGCTTCAGCTGCATTCCTTGGTGCCATGGCCAATGTGTCCAGATCCTCAGGAGCTGCCTCAAATGCTCTATCCACCTTCTGAGCATCTGCAGCCAATTCTTCCAGGCTGTCCTTGTCCAACTCTGAGGAGGGGCTTGTAGAATCTGTCAGTCCTACAGAAAGGTCAGCCTCACAGAGCTCCATCATATCAAGGCTCTGTTTGGCTTGGTGTTCTGCCATCAGGTCCTGGAGAAGTTCCTCATCTGTCTTGGGAATGTTGCCACCCTGGCCTCGAGAGGGGCCCCACACAACTGAATTATAGAGAGGGTCATTGAGGATAGGGTGGCCAAGGAACTGGAGGTGGACTCTGATCTGGTGGGTGCGGCCTGTGAGAGGCCGACACCGTACCACACTGGAGCGGCCATTGTAACTCATTCTCTGAAATACTGTCTCACAGGGCTTGCCCCGGGGATCCACACGGCACACCCCTACCTTGTAAGATACCATCAAGATGGGTTCCTTGCAGGTCACTTCCTCATCAGGGAACTCCCCCACTACCCGGCATACATACTCCTTCTCCAGCTGCACAGGAAGGAATAGGAAGAAAGTCAGCATAAAGCTCAATCTCCTTTAGCCCAGGCTCTCTGCGGAATAACTGGGAATCTATCAGTACCAGAAATAAAAGGAATCAAATGCCAGCACTACCATTTGCCCATTGTGTGAATCTTGGTATATTACTTAACCTCTTTAAGTTCCAGTAACACCTAGAAAATGCAAAGCATTCACCTCATAGGGCTGCAGAAAGGATTCCTTTAATTCAAGTTTGAGTGTGCTTGGCACCAAGACTACTACAGAATTAGCACCCAATAACTATATTACAATCCAATTTCAGAATTACAAGCCTCAAGATTTTAATCACTACTATTAGAAATTCTTCTACTTACACCTCTTTTAACTTCACCCGGAATCTTTTCACTAAGCAGATTTTCTTCGTAATCTTAAAAAACATTGCTCAGTTTGTCAGCACTTTAAAGTTTTCACTTTTTGCAAACTATAAAGAGAGGCGGTGTACACTATTTCTAAAGATCTTTTGAAACTTAATAATTTGTCTTTGGCACTTTAAAAGGAGCCCACATGGCATAGTTGGGCTGCTAACCAAAACAATGGGTGGTTTGAATCTACCAGCTACTCCCAGAAATAAAGAGAAAAGCAGTTCCCTCCTGATAAGAGTTAAAGCCTTGGAAATCCCACAGCGGGTTGCCATAAGAAGACTCACCAGCAGTAGGTTTGGTTTCTTCCTTGGTTTTAGCACTTTAGGTGCTGACATTCTGGAGGTAGGAAGTTTGGCCAAATTAACATACAGACTCATTTCAGATCTAGAATTTAGTTATGCCCTTGTGACACAGAACATGTGTGTTAGCTTAGAGTACAAGCACCAGACTCACCTGCCGGTCCCGAACCTGCTCATGAATTCTTTCAGAGACAGCTGTTGTCTTGGCAAACATGAGCACTCCAGAGGTAAGGCGGTCAAGTCGATGCAATGGGTGTAGCTCTTTGAGTTGGTGTTCTTTGCCAAGGATGAAGATGACTGTATTGTGTCGAAAGCGGCCACAGGGATGTACAGGAATGGAGGAAGGCTTGTCTACAACTACCACATCTTCATTCTCGGCTAGAAGGCGAATAGGCTCTGCTGTGACCGGTGGCTCATGCCTGTGCACTGTGTTCCGCAAGAAATCATTGTCCTGTGAAACACATAGGTAATCAGTCAGTCCCAGAATCAGCAGCTTGGATTATTCAGTCAACTCCACATGCAGCTTCCCCTCTTCCAGGCTCACATGCTAAAGCACACACTAAGAGGTGTATGGAACACCATACAGCTCAATAATGCCACAGGGGCATAGTTAACTGACATGGAAGAATATTCCCAACACATCTTTAAACAAGCAGAGCACAAGTATGATCTCACTTGTTAAAGATACCAATATACAGGCTGACAGGCATTGAAAAGTTCTAGGATCTACACAGTATCTCTACATCATGGGATTATGGACATTTGTGGAAGGTTATGTATTAGTATTTTATCTATAAGTCAAGTTTTAAACAAATAGTCACATACTAGGACCCTGAACTGAATGCCATGCTATAGATTCACGGATCTGGACTCTAGGCCTGGTTTTGTCACAAGTTCATTGTATGCTCTTAGAAAAGACTCTCAGGCTTCCATTTATTTATCTGTAAAATGTGAAGGTTAGACCTGTGTTCTCAAAATTGGGATGGAAAAGAGGATTTAAATCACTCCCTAACTTTTGAGATCTCATCTCTCCACATATCCCTGGTGAGCTTGTGTTGTCTCTAGGCTGTGAGAGAATTTTTTAAAAAGGGGAAACAAAATTCTGGATTTAACAATTCTTGCCTTTAGACGTGTTTTGTACACCAGGCTTTGGAAGTAGCACTACCTCTTTGGCCTCCTTCCTCACAGGTAAAATGGGATGGCATCATCTACCTTACAAGTTCCTCATTAGAATTAAGTTAGTTGAAATTCAACATACAAAAAAATACTTAATATTTGTGCAAACAGTCTAAGCAGATCTAAATGTTAGCCGCAATTGCTATTTGTAAAGAGATCTAAGATCTACAATGCAAGGCAGAAAGTGATGAATGTCAGTAACACAAAGCGGTTCTAAAAGGAGGTATGAGAATTCCAACGGGGGGAAATGACTTATCCCTCTTGGAAACAAGTAAGGCAACTTGTGGGACGCTGGATTCTGAAGCTTAAAGAGATTGTCTAGTATTTGCTAAGTGTTTCAAGTGAAAGTGAAGAGGATTCAGAATTCCCACGGTCCCAGTACCCATGTCCTTTTAATTCTGAAAAAACCCTGTATCTCCTTCCTTCTCCTCCCATCCTGGCCAACCCTGATCAGGACTCCCAACACCTTAAGCACAATGCTGAGGTCCTGGACTCGCTCCTCGTTGAGATGCAGGCGCCCCGCCCGGACTGCAGCTTCGTAATAGGCCAGGGGTTGGGCTCGGAATTCTGTGCCGAAGACATGCAGCAAGCTGTGGCCCACCCAGCGGCCTTTGCAGTAGGTCTTGAAGTCGAAAAAATAGGGGCGCACCTTGCGCAGCCCATTCTCGAAGTAGTAGTTGGTCTCTGCAAAGTGCTCATCGCTGAAGCTCACTCCAGCCCGCCGTTTCTTTGGAGGCGGCACGACACGCTCCCCAGGTATCCCTCGCCGTTTATTTCGTTTGCTAGGGCGCGGGGTTGCAGGCAAGGCTTGCTCCTCGCTTCCTGACTCCGGCTCTAATTTGGGGCCCGCAGGCTCTGGGTTCCCAGTGTCTCCGTTTTGCTGAACTGAAGTGTCCAGGACACCAGCTACTTCTGTCTCAATCGAGGGTGTTTCTGCCATTAGAACCTTAAAATTATTCTGAGTCTTGGTAAACCTGAGGCGCCCAAACGTAAAACATCTGTGCACATGTACAGGGAACCACTGGCACCAGCCCAACCACATTACTCGCCTGGCGCCGCTCCGAGGTCGCGATTTGAGGACGTCACTAGCGTTAGCCAATCAGTGACCCCCAGTGCCGAGCGAAACTTTTCCCGGAAGTGAACTGGGTTAAGTCGCTCCTGGAGGCTATAAAGACGTCTACACTAAATAGTCTTTTACCAGGGATTAAGTATGTAGGGATCACTAATGTCGAGTCTGACATTATTTTAGAAAAAATACTGTGTAAAAATTATGGTTGGCTGGGGGGAATGGCAGGAATTAATCCTGTAGATCCCATAAAAATAATGCTCAGTGACCCTTGGGTCTGAAAAAAAACTGAAACTTTATTTAGAAAGAAACAGGAAGCAAATAATCTCACTCATAAAAGAATGAGGGGTGCACAACTCTACTACGGGAAAAAACCAACACAACATTGACCTGCATTAGGGTTGCGGAGCTACTCCCTTCCTTTTCCAAATTAGCCACGGAAATGAACCACAGGAAGCAGCAGCTGTGGTTGTTTCTCTCTGTTAAGGAAGTGAAACTGTTCTACCTCCCTTTCCCAAAAATAGCTGTCCGCAATCCTGGTCTGCTCCCTTACCTTGTAAAAAAACAACTGCGAACATCCCCTCTGCCAATTTCCTTTTAAGACAATATAAAATCCCACTCTACGTAGCAGCTGGTCTCTCCTCAAGAAACTGTCTTGCCCTGAACTACTGGGTTCTGTCCTTCCTCAGCGACCTTACAACACTTTAAAAGGATAAGTTGTTGTTGTTATATGCTGTCGAGTCGCTTGCGACTTATAGCGACCCTATGTACAACAGCTCTAAACTCTGCTCTGTCCTGTACCAATCTCATTGTCTCGGACAGTCATCCTGATTACTCCAGTCACCGAATCAATCCGTCTCCTAGAGGGCTTTCTGCTCCTGAGCCTGCCTTCCACCCTCCCAAGCATGATGTCCTTCTCCAAGGACCGGTCTCTCCTTACAACATGACCGAAGTATGTCAGACGAAGCCCCAGAATACTTGCCTCCAAGGAGCAGCCCGTTTAACCCTCTCCAGGATGAATCTGTTTCTTTTCTTAGCAGTCCATGGTACCCTCAATACTCTTATCCAATACCAAAGCTCAATTCTCCCACTATCCTCCTTAGTCATTGTCCAACTCTGATGCCTAACAAGTGAGTGCAAAGACCATGGCCTGTATCAGATGCACCTTAGTCTCCAGAGAGACACCATTGCTCTTCAGTACCCGGGAGAGGTCCCTAACATGAGACTTTCCCATCGCAGTATGTCTTTTAATTTCCTGGCTGCTGGTGTCAAGAGTGTTGATTGTGGAGCCAAGCAGACTAAAGCTGTGAACAATCTCAATCTCTTCACCACCCATCCTAATACTGCCAATTGGTCCAGTGGTGAGAATCTTTGTCTTCTTGACATTGAGCCTCAATCCATATTGAAGGCTGCAGTCCTTAACTCTCTGCAGCAAGTGCTTTAGGTCCTCCTCAGTTTCAACAAGCAGGGTTGTGTCATTTGCATAACGCAGATTGTTGATAGATCTTCCACCAATTCTGATGCTGGATTTCTCCTCATAGAGCCCAGCCTCCCAGATAATCTGTTCTGCATACAGGTTGAAAAGGCATGGAGACAGGACACATGCCTGGTGTATGCCCTTCCCAATTTAAACCATGCAGTGTTTCCTTGCTCTGTTCTGACGACTGCCTCTTGGTCCAAGCTCATGAGCACGATCAAGTGTTCTGGGATTCCCATTCTTCTCAGAGTCAGCCACAGTATGTTATGGTCCACACAGTAAAATGCCTTTGCATAATCAATGAAACACAGATAAGACATTCCTCTGTACTCCCTGCTTTCAGCCAAAATCATCTAACGTTAGCTACAATATCCCTAGTACCACAACCCTTTCTAAACCCAGCCTGGACTTCTGGCAGTTCTCTGCTGATGTGCTGTTCCAGTCGTTTTTGGATAATCTTCAGCAGAACCTTGCTTGCATGTGAAATCAATGATATTGTTCTATAGTTTCCACACTCTGTTGGGTCACCTTTCTTTGGAATGGGAACAAATATAGATCTCTTCCAGTCAGTTAGCCAAATGGTTGTTCTCCAGATTTCTTGACACAACTTGGTGAGCACATCCAGGGCAGCATTCGTGAGCTGAAATATGTCAATTGGTATATCATCTATTCCTGGAGCCTTATTTTTTGCTATTTCTATCAAAGCAGCTTGAACTTCTTCCTTCATCACCACAGGCTCTTGGTCATGTAAGTAATAGATGTAGTAAATGATACCACAACAAAAGTGGTTAAAAAATTATATATATTGTTGTTGTTGTCTTCTAGTCGAGCATGACTCATAATGACCCTATGAACAAAAGGCTTAAAGCCCCTCTACAACTATCGACATTTATCAAAGTTCATAGAGTTATCAAAGTTCATAGAGTTTATATATATACATATATATACACACATACACACACAAAGAGTAGTCCTAGTCGGTAAGGTGTTATACTGCCTACCCAAAGGCTGGCTGTTTGAATCCATCAGATGCTCTGTGGAAGAGAAATGAACAATATTCTCCTATGCAATTTATAGTCTCTGAAAACCTGCTGGAGGATCAGCTATGAGTTAGTTTTAACCTGACATAACAAATACATATATACATAAGAGTTATTGTTATGTGCTGTTGAGTTGCCCATGACTTATAGCAACCCTAAATAAAATAGCTCTGAACCCTGCCCCATCCTGAGCCAATCTAACTTTCTGATACCTCTGTTTCCATTACCCCAGTTAATTTGTCAATCCATCTCATACAGGATGTTCCTCCACCCTTCCAAACATGTCTTTCTCCAAGAACAATTACCTCCTGGCAACATGCCCCAAATATGTCAGATGGAACTTCAAAATCCTTGCCTCCAAAGAGCAACTTGGTTTCACTCTATCCAGGACAACTATTTTCTTGGAAGTCCATGGTAGGGTCAATGCTCTTCTCAAGCAACACAACTAAAAGGCATCAGTTCTACTTCTGTCATCCTTACTCATTATCCAGCTCTCTGATGCATAGCAAGTAAATTGCAAATACCATGGTATGGATCAGGTGCACCTTAGTTTCTAGACTGATATTGTTGCTCTTCAGCACACTGGAGAGGTCCCAGACAATACATTTTCCCAATGCAATTCATCTTATGTATTTAACTGAACATCAAAAACAATATTTCACGCATATTCTTCCCTTCTGAATACACAGCAATTATTGGAGATCTCCATTTTACTTCTCATATGCTCCTATCTTGAGATGAAAATTTCAAGTGGATCAGAAGATGTACTTATCAGGGATCTTAAGTGAAAAAATATTAAAATCAACTCTTTGAACACACATTAGTGTCTTCCAGAATTTACAAGAAGATTGGAAAATTGGAGAAAAAGGATCAAATAAAACCAAGCCAAGGCTCTGAGAACAGACATACACTGGGGAAGAAAGGAAAAAGCAGTAGGGCTGATACAGGGTTTTGGTCTGCCCCATTTGAATAATAGGATGTCTATTAACTAAAATGAAGATGACGGTGAGTGGAATAAGTTGGTTTTTTTTAAGTTTTTTAAAATTAATTTTAATGACAGTTTACAGAGACTTTGGATTTCCATTCATTCATGGTTGCACTTTTCTCCCTGCCCACCCCACCGCCCAGTTCACTCTTCTCTTTGAAAAGTAAAAGAAAAATTCTTTCATTGTTATGCAATCCCTCCTCCCAAGTCCACTCCACTATGCAGGCTTCATTCTGGACTCCTGTCATGACAATAATACCTAATCATATATCCCTTTTAAACAGTTCTCTGCCTCATCTGTTTCAATGCAGCGCACATTATTTATCCTATTTTTCTTAGCCTCCCTCAACTCTGATGTCAGTTCTGTTTTACAACAGTAGCATTATGCAGTATTTGTCCTTTTGTGACTCAGGTATTTCACTCAACATAATGTCCTCCAAGGTCACCCATTTTGTATTAATATTTTCTGAGTTCCTTGTTTTTCAATGCAGCATAGTATTCCATTATGTGAATATATCAGAGCTTCTCTATCCTTTGTTTGTTGATGGACACTTGGGTTGTTTCCAGCTCTTTGCTATTTTGAACAAAGCCATGCTCAACATGGGTGTGTATATATCTGCTTTGGTGACAGTTATGGTTTCTTTGGGATATATTCCCAGTAGTGGAATTTCGGGGTCAAATGATATTTCTATTTGTAACTTTTTGAGAAAGTGCCATATTGCCTTCCATAGTGGTTACATCATTTTACTCTTCCACCAACAGTGAATAAGGGTTCCAGTTTCTCCACAACCTCACCAGCATTTGTTGTTTGCTGTTCTGTTAAATTTTGCTCTTCTTACTGAGGTGAGATCATATCTCACAGTTGTTTTGATTTGCATCTCTCTTAGAGCTAGGGATTTTGAACATTTCCTCATGTATTTGTTTGCCATCTGAATGTCTTCTTTGGTGAAGTGTCTGTTCATATCCTGTGCCCATTTTTCAATTGTTTATCTTGTTGTGGTACTCAAGTATTTTATAAATTCTAGATGTAAGTTTCTTATCTGACATATCATTATCAAATACTTTTTTCCAGTCTGTGGCTTCCCTTTTTCCCTGTTAAAAATGTTTTGGATGTGCATTGGGATTTGATTTTTAGAAGGTCCCATTCATCTATTTTATCCTGTCCTGGTTGTAGAGGCTTCAGGCGTTTTGTTCATAGGGTCGCTATGAGTCGTGCTAGGCAATCAACAATGTCTTTCTGTTCCTTACTGGTCTCAAACTTAAAACGTATTGCCCTATCCAGTGGGAATTGACTGACAGCTTGCCCTCCAGGGGGTTTTCTAAGGTTGTAAATCTTTCTGTTCACTTTTCTGCCCCCAGAGCAGGTGAATTCTAACTTTCTGTGGTCTCTTTGGGTTAGCAGCACAACTCTGTACCAACCACTCCATCAGTGAGAGCTTGTGGAGAAATTTTGCTTTCATTACATTGTGATGTAATCCATACCGAAAGTTGTAGTCTTTGATCTTCAACAGTAAATGCTTCATCCTCTGCCCCAGGATTCTTTATGTTAACCAAAAAGGAGGGAAAATGTCATATAGTGCATGAATGGAACATAGGTTCCTGTGGAAGTAGGTACAGAAGTAGCTTCCTTTTCTATCTGAGGGCCCAAAATAAAATGGGTAGTGAAGGAGTTAAGAAGATAAAGATTCTCACCATTGGACCAATTGGCAGAATCAGGATGGATGGCGAAGAGATTGAGATTGTTCACAGCTACAGTTTGTTCGGCTCCACAGCCAACACTCTTGGCACCAGCAGCCAGGAAATCAAAAAAGGTATTGCGATGGGACAGTCGGCTGTTAGGGACCTCTCTAAAGTACTCAAGAGCAACACTGTGTCTCTGGAGACTAAGGTGCGTCTGATACAGGCCATGGTCTTTGCAATCACTTGTTATGCATCAGAGAGGTGGACAATGACTAGGGAGGATAGAAGGAGAATTGATGCCTTTGAGCTGTGGTGCTGGAGAAGAGTATTGAATGTACCATGGACTGCCAAGAAAACAGATTCATCCTGGAGAGGGTTAAACCGGGCCACTCCTTGGAGGCAACGATTCTGAGGCTCCATCTAACATACTTTGGACATGTTGTACGGAGGGAAAGGTCCTTGGAGAGAGACTTCATGCTTGGGAGAGTGGAGGGACAGCGCAGGAGGGGAAGACCCTCTATGAGGTGGATTGATTCAGTGACTGGGGTAATCGGGATGGTGTGTCAGAGGCAGTGCGATTGACACAGGATAGAGCAGGGTTTAGGGCTGTTTGTTGTACATAGGGTCGCTATGAGTAGCAAGTGACTCGACGGCACGTAACAACAATAGTGAGGGAGTGAAATCTTCTGGCCCAGAGAGTTGACGGAGAAATAAACTGAAGGCGGGGGCAGGATGGGGCGGGTAACAAATTCCAAAGATTTCCTTATTTGAACTTGCAGGATTATGGAGAATCGCTACCAGTACTTAAGAAACCCATAAATACATCAGTATCAGCCGCCCAGCTTTAAAGACGCAAACCACTCTAGCCACGTGATTACCCCTCCCAATTTTTTGCGTAACAACAGCCCCGCCAACCACTTCTCTGCGCTCCTCACTGCCTCACAGCTGAGTTCCTTTCGGCCAATCGGCTCAGAGAGTATCGCCAATTCTCCTGGTGATTGGAGAACAGTACAAGTCCGTCACTCGGCGCCTCCGCCCCTCCCCGTTCCTTCTCTGCTGGCAGCAACGGAGCTGGGTCGAACGTTGTCGGGCTGCTGGGCCAGTTACCTGGCTAGGTGAGGAAGGGCTCGGCTGCCCTGCTTCTTATATTCCCCTGGCCGTCCTGACCCACTAAGAGGCCTCGTTTCCTGACTTACACCGCTTGCCAGACCGTGAGACTGGAAGTAACTGAGGCCCAGGGTCAGAATGCCTGGGTTCAGTCTGGGCGCTTTGGGGAAAGGAGGTGCAAGGCAGCTTTTGTAATTTAGATGGAGTGGGAGCCCTTTTTGGCCCCTGACATCATTGTACTCAGAGCTGAGGTGACATGTAGGTCTCTTATTCCAGGCCCTTGCACCTTGCAGAACTCTTGGAGGGCTTCAGACCTTGCCTCAGGCAGCCTTCGGGATCCTTAAACTCTTCAAAGAGGCATCCTAGAAGCCTGGTTAGTTGTAAACCGTCCAAAGCTGTGTGCATAACTGCTTGGTCAGCTTTCAGTGTATTTCTTAAACAGACAATACTTATTGGATAAAACCTTGGATTTTGGGATAGCATAGCCCTAATTTCCAACCATGGATTCATATGTCACTGTATCCTTGGGCAAGTTATTCCTTTGAGCCACCATTTTTATCTGTAAATGGTGGAAATGCTTATTTCCGGTTTATACCTCGTTTCTGTATGTGAAGAGCACGTGATCTCTTGCTTCATGACAGGTGTTTCTGACACACTTGATATAAAATATAATTTGTAACATCATCATGTATATGGACCTGTGCAGGACCTTTATAGTTTGTATCCTGTGGAAGATGGAGAATTTAACTGACTGAAAACAAGGCAATTGTGGTGTGTGGAGTTTTAAAAATTTTTTTTAAATTACTTTTTTTGTGTGTACTGTTAAATCAGTTCTGATGGGTACAGAAGGAGATAATCCCTCCTCCCGCAGAGCATCTGGTGGATTCGAACTGTGCACCTCTGGAATTTCAGTGCAGCTTCTTGCCACTAGGCCACCAGAGCTCACCTGTGGTGTGTTTTTTGTTGTGGGTTTTTGTTTTTTTTTTAAATCTTTGGGGAAAATTACAAACTGTCCACTCTAGAAATGTTCTAGAAATTCCATTTTTTAAAGTAAATTTTCATTATTAAAATAACGTGATTGCAGACCTCAAAGTGGAGCCACTTACCTTTGTCATGTTTTTATGTACTGTATACAAATCTTACTGTGTTAAACTTTTGTAAAGCCGATTACCTTCCTTTAATACATAAACCAATATCTGAGTATCTTGTGTTATATCCTTTAATCTTTCCTCATTTATGCTTCTGTTTTTTTCAAGTCAGATTCCTAATGAAAATGTTTGAGAGTATTGAATGTACAACCACTAGATCTGGCGGAGATCTGTGGGCTGAAATCTGTTCCTGCCTGCCAAATCCGGACCAAGAGGATGGTGCCAACAATGCTTTCTCAGACAACTTTGTGGCTCCTTACCCTGCAGACAAAGGCCAGAGGGAGGCATCAGATTTTGCTGTTCAGCCACCTCTACAGCCCTGGGCTCCTTTACAGGATTCAGAAGTGTATTTAGCATCTCTAGGTAAGTTAGACTGAGTTCTGCTGATATGGTAGGTAAGAATTGCACTACAAACCCAGAGGCACACAGTTCAAATCCACCAGCCTCTCTTACAGGAGAAAGGATAGGCAGTCTCCTCCTATGTAATTTACAGCCTTTGAAAACCCACTAGGGAATCATCTGTGAGTTGGTTCTGACTCAGTGGCAGAGGGAGCTCAGTGTTAAAGTCTGTGGTGAGTTGTGCTGTTAAGCTGAAGATTGCATGTCTCCAGTTGCTCTTTCTAAGAAAAATGGGCAGCCTCTTGCTAAAATTTACAGCCTCAAAAATCTGATGGTTGGTTGTTTGAGTCAGAGCCAACTTGGCAACAGTGGACAAGTGAGTGTGTGAGGCAAGTTAGATCCTGGGAGAAAGTTGTGAGTTTGGTTCTGTAAAGAATTCTGCCTTTGAATCCCAACGAACATTTTTTGTTTGTTTTAGATATTTTTTAGGTATATTAAATGGTTCAGGGTTGGTGTTTTTTTTAAATCAGAAACTGATGATTTTAGGGAAGCATGCTGACATTTTTTTATATCAAGCCTGTTTATCTATTCTTAATTTTTTTTCCCTTGCCATATATGTCGGCACATAATAACAACAGCAATATATATGTTTCTCAGACTTTGTTTTAGAGAGTGTTTCAGATTAGACTTTTAGAAAGAACTATTCTTTCTTTCCACCTCCCTTAAAATAATCTACCCTTCTGTTCTGATTGCTTTATCTAAATTCTGCTTGCTTTCTTGGTGTTTTATAGATCCCTCTTGCCTACTACTTACCCACTTATTCAAATAACTCAAAAGGGTCAACTCTTATACCATTCTTATGAACAGGTTATGTCCTCAGAGTTACAATGGATTACCTCATGCTATTGTGTTGTTGTTAAGTGCCATCGAGTTGCAGGCGATTCATAGTGAACAAAAGTCCTGGACACTTCCTGTATAACTTTCGTCCTTTCTCCAGGTTCATAGGAGCAAGCTATTGTGGAAGTGGATGCCACTCCAAGCTTGTTTTAATCGGGGAGCTCCACCAAACACTGTCCATCATGGGTAACAGTACTCAGCTTCACAGCAACCACAAGTTACTTCTGTACAGCAAGTGGACATACCAGGATTACACGACCTAGAAGAATGTTTCATCAAAAACAATTAAAGGCAGGCCTGAGGGCCGCAGAGTAGATTTACCCACCTTTGGCTTGGGAGCATGGCTTTCTGTCCGCTAGGCCAACTGATCACTCTCTCTCTATGCTATTGTTGGTGGTAGTGTTGTTAAGTGCCGTTGAGTCGCAGGCGACTCATAGTGACCCTATGAATGAAAGTCCTGGACACTTCCTGTATAACTTTCGTCCTTTCTCTACGTTCATAGGGTTTTCAGACTCAACCTATTGTGGAAGTAGATGCCACTCCTGCTTCCAAGCTTGTTTTAGTCAGGGAGCTTCAACAAACACTGTCCACCATGGGTAGCAGTATTCGGCTTCACAGCAACCACGAGTTACCTCTGTACAGCAAGTGGACATACCAGGGTTACATGACCTAGAAGAATGTTTCACCAAAAGCAATTAAAGGCAGGCCTGAGGGCCGTGGAGTAGAGTCACCCACTTTTGGCTTGGGAGCATACCTTTATGTACCTCATGCTACAATGTAAAATTTTAAAACCATCATTTTAATTTATTAGGTTATTTGAATTGGGAGCCCATTAAAGTAAATTTATTCTGTCACTTGTTAACCATTTTATTTATTTAATAGTTCCTAAATACATCTTCAAACCTTTATTCTGTGACCTTCAGTTTAAGCATTTTAACAGATTCCAAACACAAGAAAGAGATTCAGATTGTCCTATGCCAGGGGAAAAGAACTGTCAATCTCTCCCCATACCTATTTAATGTGTATGTTGAGCACAATATTTGAGAAGCTGGACTCTGAGAAGAGGAATGTGGCATCAGGATTGGAGGGAGACTCATCAATAACATATAGAAGATCAAAGAATGCAGGGAGCTCTGGTGGCCTAGTGACAGGAAGCTGCACTGCAATCCCAGAGGTATGCAGTTCAAATCCACCAGATACTTTGCAGGAGAAGGAGGGACAATCTCCTCCTGTACCTGTCAGATCCGATTTGATGATACACACACACAAAATAATAAAATTTTTAAAAAATTTAAAAAAAAGAATGTAGCCTTCAGTATAGATTGCATCTTAATGTCAAGAAAACAAAGATTCTTACCACTTGAATGATGGGCAGCATTATGATGGATGGAGAAGAAATTGAAACTTGTCAACAACTTCGGGAAAATCTGTTGTTAGGGATTTTATTAGTCTCCAGATTACTGAGGAGTAATGATGCCAGTTTGAGGACTAAGGTGTGTCTGATTCAGACCATAGTGTTCCAGTCACTTGCTATGCATCTGAGAGCTGGACAATGAAAAAGGATGACAGAAGAATTGATGCCATTGAGCTGTGGTATTTGTGAAGAGCACTGAACATCTCATGGACGCCCAAAAGAACAAATATATATTGGAGAGGGTGTGGCTGGAGTGCTCTTTGGAGTCAAGGATAATGAGGCTTTGCCTCACATACTTTGGGGATATTGCTAGGACATGATGCTAGTAAGGGTGGAGTGTCAGCAAAGGAGAGGAAAACCTTTGACTGGGTAAATTGATACGGTGACTGCTGCAATGGGCTCTTGTGTGTTAGGAAGTATGAGGATGGCACAGGATAGAACAAGGTTCAGATTTTTTTTGTTTATAGAGTCTCTATGAGTCATACTTGACCACACCTAACAACAGCAACAAACTTTGAAGATATAATGCAAAACTACCAAAGATAAGGTATAAGAATGATGCTTGCAGCTATGGCCACTAGGAGAAAATTCTGTTTTGTGGTAGTTAGAGCATTTGTTGCTGATGATAAGGGAGAAAACAGTAATCTGAGCAAACTAAAAAACCAGGTCCTTTGGCTTAGTGTGGTGCTGTATGCTCAGGAGTTAGACTTCCATGAAGATATTAAAGTAAACTTCTAAAGGTTGAAACTCAACTACTCCTTTCTAAAATTAGTAGCAATGATTAAACTTACCTTTTCTGAGGAAAACAAAAGACATTTCTGTTGTCTGTAGTACACAGAGACTGGGAATAATGACAGTGGGTTTGGAGTGTGTAGTGGGTCCTGTTTCTGCTTGCCCCCTCCCAGAGTAGATTTGATCAAGGGCTCAGTAAACTCAGAGAGGAGACCCTTTTCAGCCCAGATTATTTTTTTTATAACACAAAAGCCATGTTTCTATTGTCAAAAAAGCCCATTTCACAGAGTATTGCCTGCTAAGAGAACTTAACTAGTTAAACAAGAGACATACATAATCCTTTCCACATTCTCTAGGAGAAAATAAAACTCTTCAAATATTTATCAACTGTGAGTTTTTTATTTGGATGAGCTGTTGGTGGTAATTTACAGAAGCAAAAGGTGTTTATTATTTTGCTCAATGGTGCTAGCTCATGTGGCTTGTTTAAAAAATGAAAGCATGCATATAAATAAAAGTTTTCATTGGTTCTGAGCTTTGATGTCTAATTTCCCTTCCGCTTTCCCCCCCAAAAAGCATTCATTTATTCATGTATTATAGTTGAAGGTGAGACTAAATTAAGGCATAAGGTAAAACCCTTTCTCATATTCTTCAAAAGGAGACAAATGTAAGAAATACACTTGACCTTGTTGCGTTGTCCTCTGTTTATAACCCTCTGGTAGATCTGGAGGAGTATGTAAATGTGTCATGCTCATGTAATTTCTATGTCGTTGAGATCTGACTCTCCACTCTGCCAGCCTGGGATTTGAAGACTGCCCACACGTTGCACCATTTGTTCCACTAATTGGAGTGTTATCAACAAAGCAGCTTTTCCAGGACTAGAATATGCTGACGCCAGTCAAGTGGGGTGTTCTATTGTGTAGTTCTTGTTACATAGTTTAGATACTGGCCCAACAACCTGCCAAAAGCTCACACTTGCTTCAATAGAATTGACATTCCACCTTAAGAAAGTTATAGAAAACTATATGAAAAGCTGCTAACAGCCATCGAAGAACATGTGGATTTGCCATGGAATAATTGTCAGAGATCAACCCAGGACTTATTTAGGCCTCTGACTGACAGCTTTCTTTCAGCGAAGTTTCATGGAATGCGGAAATACAGAAATTCTCTCTCGTCTTTTTTGAATTTTAGGACACTATGAAGATTCCTTTTCAAGGAAAAAAAGGGTCTTTATGCTTTGCCATGAGGCCACATTCAGCTGCTATTTAAGATTAGTATCAAAGAATGCTGACTTTTTCCTACATTTCCAGAGTTAGGCAGTATTTGACACTTAAAAGACTACTATTTTTATAAAAGGCAATCTATTCAAATTGCTTCACAGATTTCAAGTCTCTGAAACATCAAGACAACTTCAGCAGTCAGTACCAATCACATTTCAGTGAAATTGAATACATGATTATGAACAGCTCCTGTACTTAACTCTTTGTAAAAACAAAATAAAATTATTTTAGATTATTCTAACTTTTTTTTTAAAAAAGAAATACGGTTACTAATGATACTTAAAATGCAAAGAAGAGTAAATAAACAACTATCAGGGAGCCAGTAAGGATTACTCATAAAGGGATTGCAAGACATTTGTTTTTATTAGGCTCTACCATCCAGGCCAGAAGTTAAACAAATTTGTAAAAGGCTACCCATTACCATCAAGTTGGTTGTACCACTGTAACATACCATTGAGTTTCTAAGATCGTAAATCTTCATAGGAAGAGACAACCATCTTCCTCCCACTTTCTGACTAGTAAGGATTTGAACTGCTGACCTGCTGTGAGAGGACCTCTGCCTCAGCCTTCCCTCTTTTTCAGAACTCATTTCCTTGTGTCCCTGCTTTCCTTATGCATCTGGTTTGCAACACACTACCCTATTAGACCTCCTAAAATAAGGTTTGTTGTTGTTGAATATCATCAAGTCTGAATCAATTCATAACTGTCTCTCCAGTGGGTTTTCAGAGGCATGGAAGGAAATTACCCACCTTCAGTGGAGTAGCTGTGAATTTGAACCATGTACCATTGGGTTGGAATGCAATTCCTTACCACTAGGAGATTCTTTTTCTTTATTCAGTATTTTAAAAATATAATCATACATAGAGATCATAAAGAACTCCTGTTATTGTATTCAGATCAAGTCAATTTTGGTGTATAAGGAACCATAGTATTGTCATTTTTCTCTAGTTCTTATAAGATATAGAAGCTACTTCATATCACTGTAACGAAAAGAAAGCCTGTTTACTTCTCAGTGAGACTTACTTTTAAGGACCTGGCAAAAGATAATAATATACATGTGTTAAGCCATGGGATAAAAGCATTCCTTAGAAAGATACCTACCGGACTTCTGTGATTTTAAAGAAAGCATGCTATCAATTTACTTATGAGAACATATGGCTTTTCCCTTTTCTGGGATGAAATATTTTATATCATTGATAGATTATTTGGCATGTTACTGTGTAAGGACCTTGTAAAGAAAAAGACCTTGTAAGGAAAAAGAGAAAATACCTGTTCTCCTATAAATCTCCCTTTAAAAACTGTTTCTTTTGCAGAGGAAATGAGAAAATTTTAAGTTGGCCTTTTGCATTTTCAATTTAAATTTTGTTTCCTGTTCACTTTCCTTGTTAAGTTTTATTTCTCTCTTTAGAAAAGAAACTGAGAAGAATCAAAGGTTTAAATCAGGAAGTAACCTCCAAGGACATGCTTCGAACCCTTGCCCAGGCCAAGAAGGAATGCTGGGATCGGTTCCTCCAGGAGAAATTGGCATCCGAGTTCTTTGTGGATGGGCTTGATTCTGATGAGAGGTAATTGATTCCCAATGCAGTTCCAGATGGCAGTCTATTTCATCATGTACATTTCTCTTTCTCTAAACAATCCACGGACAGTGATATCTGAGTGCTGATACTAATTGATAACAACATCTCTTCTCCAAAACTCAGAAATCATCCTTTGTGAGGTTGCTGTATATTTGCTTTCAGCTCAGCAACAGATTTTGAGAATAGGTATTTTTGCCAAAATGTTATTACCCCAGGTTTCATTTTAGTCAGAATGAACTGAGGGTGAGGGTGAACCACTGTTACCATTTTTAAGTTTTCACTTTTAAGATTTTTTAAGATTCATTTTTAAGATCACTTGAGAAAGTAGAAACCAGTCAACCGTTGGAACTGTTGTCTTTTTATCTCTGAAATACACTGCTTTACACAGTTTCTGTCACATTGTAGCCAGCCACTCAGTAAATATGAATAGACTTAATTGAATGACTTTATTAAGCGTGTATGTGCTCAGTACCATATGAGAATGCTGTCTGTAAGGACATTTTAGACGTTTTTTTATTGGTTTGTTTTTGCATTCCGAACTGGTTGAGGAGAAGATAGATCTATCTGTCTGTCTGTCTACCTATCTATCTATCTATCGTTGTTGTTATGTGCCGTCAAGTCGTTTGTGACTCATAGTGACCCAATTACAACAGCCCTAAACCCTGCTCTATCCTGTGCCAATCGCACTGCCTCTGACCCACACATTCTGATTACCCCAATCACTGAATCAATCCATCTCATAGAGGGTCTTCCACTCTTGCGCCATCCCTCCACCCTCCCAAGCATGATGTCCCTCTCCAAGGACCTGTCTCTGCTTGCAACATGCCCAAAATATGTCAGACGAAGCCCCAGAATCCTTGGCTCCGAGGAGTTGCTTGGTTTAACCATCTCCAGGATGAATCTGTGTGTTTTCGTGGCAGTCCATGGTACATTCAATACTCTTCTCCAGCACCACAGCTCAAAGGCATCAATTCTCCTTCTATCCTCCCTACTCAGTGTCCAACTATCTGATGCATAACAAGTGATTGCAAAGACCATGGCCTGGATCAAGCGCACCTTAGTCTCCAGAGAGACACTGTTGCTCTTGAGTACTTTAGAGAGGTCCCTAACAGCAGACTTTCCCATCGCAATACGTCTTTTAATTTCCTGGCTGCTGGTGCCAAGAGTGTTAACCATGGAGCCGAGCAAACTGAAGCTGTGAACAATCTCAATCTCTTCACCATCCATCCTGATGCAACCAATTGGTCCAGTGGTGAGAATCTTTGTTTTCTTGACATTGAGCCTCAGTCCATACTGAAGGCTGCAGTCCTTGACCCTCTGCAACAAGTGCATGAGGTCCTCCTCAGTTTCAGCAAGCAGGGTTGTATCATCTGCATAACGCAGATTGTTTTTTTTTTTCTTGTTTTTTTTTTTTATTTTTTTTGCAGATTGTTAATAGATCTTCCACCCATCCTGATGCCACAATTCTCCTCATAGAGCCCAGCCTCTCGGATAATCTGCTTTGCATATAGGTTGAAAAGGTATGCAGACAGGACACATCCCTGGCGCACGCCCTTCCCAAATTTGAACCATGCAGTGTTTCCTTGCTCTGTTTTGACAACTGCCTCTTGGTCCAAGTATAGGTTTCGCAGTAGCACGATTAAATGTTCTGGGATTCCCATTCTTCTCAGAGTCAGCCACAGTTTGTTATGATCCATACAGTCAAACGCCTTTGCATAATCAATGAAACACAGATAGACATTCTTCTGGTATTCCCTGCTTTCAGCTAAGATCCATCTAACATCAGCTACAATATCCCTAGTACCATGACCCCTTCTAAACCCAGCCTGGACTTCTGGCAGTTCTCTGCTGATATGCTGTTCCAGTCATTTTTGGATAATCTTCAGTAAAATCTTGCTTGCATGTGAAATCAATGATATTGTTCTGTAGTTTCCACACTCTGTTGGGTCACCCTTCTTTGGAATGGGAGCAAATATAGATCTCTTCCAGTCAGTTGGCCAAGTGGTTGTTCTCCAGATTTCTTGGCACAACTAGGTGAGCACATCCAGGGCAGCATCTGTTAGCTGAAATACATCAAATTGGTATACCATCTATTCCTGGGGCCTTATTTTTTGCTATTTCCTTCAAAGCAGCTTCAACTTCTTCCTTCATCACCATAGGCTCTTGCTCATATGTTATTTCATTAAATTCTTCTGTATCTGCCAATTCCTTTTGATACAATGACTCAGTATATTCCTTCCATCTTCTTTTAATACTTCCTGGATCTATCTATCTATCTATCATTATAAGGTAATTATAAGAATACATAACAATACAGGTAAGAATAAGAGAAGGGCCAGATGAGTGGAAGTGGCAGAAATTGCTTTGGGAGTTGAGAAGCCTTTGAGCTCTGATGTCACACTAGGGAAGGAAGCAGGACTAGAACAGTACCTGCTGGTATGTAGGATGTAGACTGGAGGGCGGCCTCTGTTACACTGAGCAAGGGGAAAGTGGCTTTGCTGATTGATTGTTCTTTGATAAGTAAGTTCACTATACCTCAGTTTCCTTCTCTGTAAACTGGAATGGTAGTGGTTACTTCATAACAAGTGAAGGTTTAAATGAGTTACTATGTAAGAGTTGTGGTGTTGGAGAAGAGTATTGAATATACCATGGACTGCTAAGAAACTTAACAGATTCATCCTGGAGAGGGTTCAACCAGTCTACTCCTTGGAAGCAAGGATTCTGAAGTTTCATCTGACATACTTTGGACATGTTGCAAGGAGGGACCAGTCCTTGGAGAAGGATACCATGCTTGGGAGAGTGGAGGGACAGCACAGGAGGGAAGACCCTCTATGAGGTGGATTGATTCAGTGACTGGGGTAATGAGGGTAGGTGTGCCAGAGACAGTGAGATTGGCACAAGACAGAGCAGGGTGAGTCACAAGCAACTTGACAGCACATAACAACAATGTAAGAGTGCTTGGAACAGTGTCTGTATCAGTGTTTCTATAGCTCTGGTGACCTAGTGAGTAAGGAGTTGCCAACCCAAAAGTAGGCAGTTCAAATCTACCAACTACTCCACAGGAGAAAGCTGGGCAGCCTCCTATCATGCGATTTACAACCTCTGAAAACCCCCTGGAGGGTCAACTTGAGTTTATTTTGACTAGATGACAACCAGTGAGTGAGTGATATTAAGTGTTATCTATTGTTAAGATTATTCTTAACAAAATTTTAAAGGTCAGTTAGAATTTACTGAAAATGGAAAGCTATTATAGAAGGAGTGGGAGTCTTAGGGTAATATGGCACAGGACAGAGCAGAGTTTAGGGCTGTTGTATATAGGGTCGCTATGAGTCGCAAGCGACTCGATGTCACATAACAACAACAACAACATTACAACAACAACAACATTACTGACTTTACTATGCAAAGGTATTCATAACAAATTACTAGATCATAATGAAATATGGATGATGTCGTAAAGAATGAGAATTCCAAAACACTTAATTTTGCTTTTGTGAAAGTTGTCTATAGACCAAAAGGCAACCATTTGAACAAAACAAGGGAATACTATGTGGTTTGAAATCAAGAAAGATGGGTATCAGAGTAGTACCTTTTAACAATACTTAATCTGTGTGGTGAGCAAATAATCCAAAGACCAGAATTTATAAAGAAAAAGTACCAGGATTGGAGAAAGACTTTCAAGCACTGACATAAACAGAAATCTTGACAACTGAATGAATAAGCAACAGCATGTTACATTGAGAAAATATTAAAATTAACATAAATTTCATTTTACTTGAATTTACAATTAGCACACCTGAAACAGCATTCACAAATCAAATGATACTAATTACATTGGGTATATCTGCTACAGTGTGCTTAAGAACAAAGATAGCTCTTTTTGAAGACTAAGATGGGCCGGACCTAAACATTGGTGTTTTCAGTTGCCTAACCTCCACCTGACAGTTGAGCAGCGAATACGAAAGACTGAAAAAGAAAAAAAAAATCTATTTTGGAAGAAGTGCAACCAGAATGTACTTTTAAGACTAGTGAGACTTCATCTCATATACTTTGAGCCTATATATGCTCAAGAGGGATCAGTCCCTGGAGAATGTCATTTACTTGGTAAAGTAGAGAGGCAGCGAAAAAGAGGAAGGCCCTCAATTAGACAGATTGACAGCTGTGACTGTGACAGTGGGCTCAACACAGGAACAGGCAGTGTTTCATTTTGTTTTAGAAGGGTCACTGTAAGTTGGAACAGACTCTGTTAACACCTAACAACAGATGAAGATGTTATTGTTCTTAGGTGTCATCAAGTATGACTCAGATGATGAGGATGGCATTGGATAGGTCAGGATTCAGATCCTGAGCCATCCTCATCATCTTTGACACACTCAAGCCCATTGTGCAGTCACTGTGTCAATCCATTTTGTTGGGAGTCTTCCTCTTACTTGCTGACCCTTCATTTCTTTCCAAGAAATAGCCTTGCTTAGCTACATATCCAGAGTTTGAGAGGTAAAGCCCCACTATCCTTGCCTCCAAGAAGCACTCTGGCAGTGCTTTCTCCAAAACATATCCATTTGTTCTTTGGCAATCTTTGGAATATTCAGCATCATCTTCCAGTGTCACAACTCAAAGACGTCATTTCTTCTTCTGTTGTCCTTATTCATTGTCCAGCTCTCTGAAGATGTTGTTAATGTTGTCAAAGAGAATATGACTCATAGCAACCCTGTGAACAACAGATTGAACCCTGTTCTCTCCTCACAGTCTCTGACACACTTGAGTCCATTTCTGCAGCCACTGTGTCAGTCCATCTGGTTGAGGGTCTTCCTCTCTTTCACCATCACTTCACCTTCCCAACCATGTTCTTTTCCAAGAAATAGCCTCTCCTAGAAACGTGCCCAAAGTATGTGAGATGCAGTTTTATCATCTTTGCCTCCAAGGAGCACTCTTAGATGAAGGTGAAGATACTGCTGTAGAAATCATGGGCAGCATGTGAATGAAACTTAAAAGTTACATTTTGTTTTTTAATTTTCAGTGTAAGTACTTTCACTCAGATTATCTTAAATAGTAAATTAATGCACTCTAGGTCCTTTAAAGATAATCTATTATCATCTGGGGGCTCAGAAAATCATATAGATTTTGCTCGTTTCAGTCTCTAATGGCTCAACCTAAATTAGCTTGAAATTGCCCTGGGTAGAGGAGCTTTGAGACTGCAATGCTTACTGACCCACTAATAATTTTTGTATTTTTACTTAACATTCTCTCTTCCTATGAATGTTTGCTTCCACTCCAGTTTTGAGAAGAAAAAATGAAAGTTGCTCTTCATAATTCTCAAGTAGGAATTCTTTGAAAGCAGATGGGCACCAAAATTCAGGTTAATGTTGCCATATGTTTATCAATAGCTTGTGGCAAGTTTTCTCTATAAGTCTATGCAAAGTTTGATAGATGAAGATTAACTTCCCTTGTCAGACCTGATTCTCTCGAGATGTAGAGTCAGTCGGCTGCTCTCACTGCTTTCTGAGTTTTGATTTCTTCTCTCTAGCTTACATCTGTGGAAAGACTTTTTATCATTATTCAGAGCAGACATTAGGAAATACTATATCTGCCTTTGCTTTCAAACTTCAAAGTATGCTTTAAAACAAAGCCCATTTTGCATTTAAATTGAGTCTTCATGTATATGAAGGCCAGGTTTAGTGACCTCACTCCTGATATGCTTTTGATGAAGAAGTAATGGGCTGAGAAATCCACCTGTCCAATACTTAATGCCCCAAAACAGTGATGGGCATTTAAAGGACTTCTCGTTAAGACTTTATGTTCTGACTTAAGATTTGATGCTATTGATGAGCATAGAATGAGATGTACATTACGTCTGTGACTAACTAACTTATTGCTGTCGAGTTCAAAATCAGCTCATAGCTGATCCTCTTGTGGGTTTTCAGAAACTGTTAATCATGTGGGAGGAAATTGCCCATCTTTCTCTTGCAAACCTGGTAATGGATTCAAACTGCCTGCCTTTAGGTTGGCAGCATGACTCCTTCCCCAGTAGGCCACCAGAGCTCTCTATGTTGTGTCTAATCATTTATATTTTAATGTGAATGTCCAATCACTGTAGAAGGGAAGATTCTAAGTACAAAAGGAAGGTGGTAGTGGGACCAATGAGCCTTGCCTCCTCCTCACAGATCCAGAGGAAAAGGAAGCCATTCCATTGTAGGGAACATTTGCTTCTCAGATGTTTCTATCTTGGAGGCTTATTACAGTATAAAACAAAAACCTTACAAGGAAATGAAAAAAACAACCACTGCACCCCCAAATCACACTGCACAAATAAATGCTTGAGGTATAATTGAGCCCAGAGAATATGAGATTTATAAATACTCATATTTCTGTCTCACTAATAATTTGATTTTAGTTAAGTATTTCCTCCCTTGACAGTTCCTCTCCTCTTTTTGAAAGGGGTGGGATAGCAGGACTAAAGCATTAGCTCTTCAACTATTCTCATCAAGCCTTCTGCGGCTCTGCATCCGAAGGGGGCCGGGTACTGCTTATAGCCCAAGTGCCCACTAGGGGGTAAATTATGCCGTGGAGTTGCCAGGATGCACAGCTGTCAGAGGAGTATCACTGTTCTCCCCATGTTCACAAAGAAAAAGCATTGTAGGAAGAATTGGGGGGGCAGGCAGGCGGCATTTGAGTAACTGAGATGATTAAGTTATCACTGAGGTCCGACATAGTCACCCTTTTCTCCTCTCTTTGTAGCACCTTGGAACATTTCAAGCGGTGGCTCCAGCCAGATAAAGTAGCCATCAGCACAGAGGAAGTCCAGTACCTGATTCCTCCCGAGTCACAGGTTGTGAAACCAGAGTCTGAGAATGAGCCAGCGGCAGCAGAACAGTAAATTACATGCACACTCTGAAAGCAGCTGTCTTGGGCCCCACTGGGACTAACAGCAAGCTTGACTTCAGCAACCAGGAGACTCTTGGAAGGAAAAAAGCCCAAACTTCTTTCCACAAAGCAAACAGCCTCCGGCCCCTGAGGACATGCTTGGGGCTGCTGGCATGTGTGACTGACCCGGTGAGTGCTGGATCAAAGTACTGCTTTCCTCTATGCCTCACAGCAGAACTGAGCACTGAGCTGCAGCTTAGAAGTCTGCAAAAACCTGGTGAAGGACCAAGTGTGAAACTGCTTGGTGAAACTGATGCCATTATGTGTAATACACAAGTGAAGTGAGCCATATATTTTTTTGCCTTTTCTGGATGTTCCCTGCCTGTATTCCAAGCATTCCCTCGGTAAATCGAGTGAGTAGAGCTAAGGAGAATAAAGTTGGCACCCATGAATCCACACCTGCCTGATGCTACTGTAACAAGTGCTTAGTAAATATAGTGACTGGGCTTTTCCTTTGTTTGAGTTGTTTCTTATGTGTGGGGTGCGACTGGGAGAAAGGGCAAAAGATGCATGGGAATGTGGAAATTTAAGTGTGTATATGTCTGTTTTTTTGTTTCATGCTTGGTTTCCCCTCCGGCCACCACCTACTCTTTTAAAAGGCCAGGTTCTAAATTAGAACTGTAAATATGGTATTAATTTTTGACATCAGTGTTTGACATCACTCCTGAATAGCTCCAAGTTTGTGCCTTGTGGCAACTTTCCGAGCTGAGCCTGCCCTCCCCTTTCATTATCGTGTTCTTATTCACTATGTGTCCATATACAACTTTTCTCATTAGAATAGCTGTGTGTGTAGTACTGTTGACTTGATTTCTCCCAGAGAGATGCTTCCTGGCCATGAGGAGATAAAGGCAAACTTACACCCACCCTAGGGATCTCTGGTGGCCTTGGACAGCTTCTTTCTAGAATATGCTCTGTGACAGTCCAAACCACATTTTGCTCAGGGTGGTTGGTGATTGTTTTTATGTGCCATTGAGTCAAGTATGACTCCTAGTAACTCTGTGAACAACAGATCTGAACCCTGTCCTATCCTGTGTCATCTTCATCATCGCTGACACATTTGAGCCCATTGCAGCAGTCACTGTGTTAAGCCATTGAAGTTCTTCCTCTCTTTCACTAACCCTCCACCTTTCCAAGCATGATGTCCCTTTCCAAGAAATAGACTCTCCTGGACCAAAAGGCATTCATTAGAACAGAGCAAGGAAACACTGCATGGTTCAAAATCAGGAAGGGTGTCCACCAAGAATGTGCCCTATCTCCATATCTTTTCAATCTGTATGCAGAACAGATCATCCAGGAAGCTGGACTCTATAAGGAGGAATGTGGCATCAGGATTGGAGGAAGACCTATCAACAACCTACATTATGGTACACCCTTGCTTCCTGAAACTGAGGAGGACCTGAATCACTGGCTGTAGAAGGTCAAGGACTGGAGCCTTCAATATAGATTGAAGCTCAACATCAAGAAAACAAAGATTGTACCATTTTACAATCCCACCAACAATGAATAAGAGTTCCTATCTCGCCACATCCTCTCCAGCATTTATTACTTGCTGCCATGGTAAACTTTGCCACTGTTACTTGAGTGAAATGGTACCTCGTTGTGGTTTTGATTTGCATCTCTCTTACTGCCAGTGATTTGGAGCATTTCTTCATGTGTCTGTTTGGAATTCAAATATCTTCCTCTGTGAAAATTCTTTCCATGTCTTTTGCTCATTGTGTAATTGGGTTATCAATCTTTTTCTTGTGGAGGCCCAGGAGTATTCTGTAAACTTTTGTTATAAGACTCTTGTCTGAGACAGTGTTACCAAATGTTTGTTCCCAGTCTGTAGGTTTTCTTTTCTCCCTGTTGGAAAAGGTTTTTGATGCACACATGCATTTAATCTTTAGAAGGTCCCATGCATCAATTTTATCCTCTTCAGATTGTGCATGTATGGTTGTATTCCATTCTGGAAGGCAGTTTGGCACCTCCTCAAAAGCTAACACAAATTCCATATGACCCAGCTATTCCACTACTTAGAATATACCCTGCGAAAATTAGAACTAAGGCACAAACAGGGATTTGTACATCAATGTTCATAGCAGTATTATTTACCATTGCAAGAATGTGGAAACAGCCCAAAGGTCCAACTACAAACAAATGGATTGAGAAATTATGGTACATTCACACAATGGAATACTATGCAGCATGCAGGAGCAATGACTTTGTAAATTAATACCTAACTTGGGAGGAACTGGAGATCATTATGCTGAGTGAACTAAATCAGACCCACAAGGATAAATATTGTATAAAATCATTATTGTAGAATGAGTATACGGATTCAAGAGGGGTGGGAGAGGTTGGTAGCAGAAGGATGAGGATGTGCAGGAGGAGGGGGGATTAATCATGAGGTTGTACAATTTGTTGGGTGGGGGATGAAATTGAAAGAATTTGTTCTTGAAAACAATGTATTCTATAAGTGAATCTCATTATCCATTTACAATTAAATATGTAAATAAACTAGTAGAAAATTAAAAAGAAAACAATAATTCTTACCACACCACTGGGCTGATTGGTAGCATCATGATAGATGGTGAAGAGATTGAGATTGTTAATAGCTTCAGTTTGTTTGACTCCACAATCAACACTTCTGGTACCAGCAGCCAGGAAATCAAAAGATGAGTTGCACTGGGAAAATCTGCTGTCAGGGACCTCTCCAGAATACTGAAGAGCAACATTGTCAATCTGTAGACTTAGGTGCTCCTTATCCAGGCCATGGTCTCTGCAATTACTTGCTATACATCAGAAAGCTGGACAATGACTAGCGACAGTAGAAAGACTTTATGGCTTTGAGCTGTGGTGCTGGAGAAGAGTATTGGATATGCTATGGACTCACAGGAGAACAAACAGGTTTGTCCTAAAGAGGGTGAAACCAGCCTGCTACTTCGGGACAAGGATTCTGAAGTCTGACATATTTGGGGCATGTTTCAAGGAGGGACCTGTCTTTGGAGAGGGACATCATGCTTAGGAGGGTGGAGGGACAGCACAAGAGAGGAAGGCCCTTGATGAGATGCATTGACACAGTGACTAGGGAAATGAGGGTAGGTGTGTCAGAGACAATAAGGTTGGCTCAGGTTAGAGCAGGGTTCAAGGCTGTTGTACATAGGGTCACTATGAGTTGCAAGCAACTCGACAGCATATAACAACTACAACATGTCCATGATATATGAGGTGAAGTTTTGCCATTTTTGCCTCCCAAGGAGCACTGTGACTGCTGTATCTCCAAGACATGTCAGTTCATTCTTTTGTCAGTCCATTGGATAGATATTCAGTACTTTCCAACACCACAATTCAAAGGCATTGATAACTTCTGCCATCCTTATTTGTTGGCCAGGTCTCAGATGCATAGGAACTGATTGAAAAGTCCACTTCCTTGAGCACATAACAAAATAAAGTAAAATGGGTGGAAGAAAAAAACCAACAAAACCATGGCCTGAATTAGACACAACGTGATCTTCACACTGATATCGTTGCTCTTCAGTATTTTGCAAGGTCCTTGTATGCAGACTTTCCCAGTGTAATACATCTCCAGTCTCCTAACTGCTAGTGCTAAATATGTTGATTGTGGCTCCAAGTAAGATGAAGTTGTTGACAGTTCCAGCCTTTTTTCCATCAATCATGATGTTGCCTATTGGTCCAGTGGAGAAGATTTTTGTTTTCTTGATATTGAGATATAATCCACAGTGAAGTCCGTAGTCTTTGAACTTCTGCAACAAGTGCTTCAAGTCTTCCTCACTTTCAGCGAGCAAGGTTGTGTCATCTACATAAATCAGGTTGTTGATGAGTCTTCCTCCAATCCTGATATCATGTTCTTCATATAAAATAATAAAAACATATTTATGCCTTGATTTGCAAAGTCTTGAATTATCCAGGAAGCATTAAAAGAAGATGGAGATCTACAACCAGGAGAGGATAAAATAGATGAATGGGACCTTCTAAGAATCAAATCCCTGTGTA